ACCACCCACCACTACCACCCACCAATACCACTACCACACACCACTACCACCCACCACTACCACCCACCACTACCACCCACCACTACCACCCACCACTACCACCCACCACTACCACCCACAACTACCACTACCACCCACCACTACCACTACTACCCACCATTACCACTACCACCCACCACTACCACCCACCAATACCACCCACCACTACCACCCACCACTACCACCCACCATATACCACCCACCACTACCACCCACCACTACCACCCACCACTACCACCCAAAACTACCACTACCACCCTCCACTACTACCCACCACAACCACCCACCACTACCACCCACCACTACCACTACTACCCACCACTACCACCGACCACTACCACCCACCAATACCACCCACCACTACCACCCACAACTACCACTACCACCCACCACTACCACCCACCACTACCACTACTACCCACCACCCACCACTACCAACAACCACTACCACCCACCACTACCACCCACAACTACCATCCACCGCTACCACTACCACCCACAACTACCACTACCACCTACCACTACCACCCACCACTACCACCCACCACTACCACCCACGACTACCACCCACCACTAGCACCCACCACTACCACCCACCAATACCACTACCACCCACCACTAGCACCCACCACTACCACCCACCACTACCACCCACCACTAGCACCCACAACTACCACCCACCACTACCACCCACCAATACCACTACCACACACCACTACCACCCACCACTACCACCCACCACTACCACCCACCACTACCAATACCACCCACGACTACCACCCACCACTACCACCGACTACTACCACCCACCACTACCACCCACCACTACCACCCACCATTACCACCCACAACTACCACTACCACCCACCACTACCACCCACCACTACCACCCACCACTACCACCCACCACTACCACCCACCACTACCACCCACAACTACCACTACCACCCACCACTACCACTACTACCCACCATTACCACTACCACCCACCACTACCACCCACCAATACCACCCACCACTACCACCCACCAATACCACCCACCACTACCACCCACCACTACCACCCACCATATACCACCCACCACTACCACCCACCACTACCACCCACCACTACCACCTACCACCCAAAACTACCACTACCACCCTCCACTACCACCCACCACTACCACTACTACTTACCACTACCACCCACCACTACCACCCACCAATACCACCCACCAATACCACCCACCACTACCACCCACAACTACCACTACCACCCACCACTACCACCCACCACTACCACTACTACCCATCACCCACCAATACCACCCACCACTACCACCCACAACTACCATCCACCGCTACCACTACCACCCACAACTACCACCTACCACTACCACCCACCACTACCACTACTACCCATCACCCACCACTACCAACAACCACTACCACCCACCACTACCACCCACCACTACCACCCACCAATACCACCCACCAATACCACCCACCACTACCACCCACAACTACCACTACCACCCACCACTACCACCCACCACTACCACTACTACCCATCACCCACCACTACCAACAACCACTACCACCCACCACTACCACCCACCACTACCACCCACAACTACCATCCACCGCTACCACTACCACCCACAACTACCACTACCCCCTACCACCCACCACTACCACCCACCACTACCACCCACGACTACCACCCACCACTACCACCCACCACTACCACCCACCAATACCACTACCACCCACCATTACCACCCACCACTACCACCCACCACTACCACCTACCACTAGCACCCACAACTACCACCCACCACTACCACCCACCAATACCACTACCACCCACCACTACCACCCACCACTACCACCCACCACTACCACCCACCACTACCAATACCACCCACGACTACCACCCACCACTACCACCGACCACTACCACCCACCACTACCACCCACCATTACCACCCACAACTACCACTACCACCCACCACTACCACCCACCACTACCACCCACCACTACCACCCACCACTACCACCCACCACTACCACTACCACCCACGACTACCACCCACCACTACCACCCACCACTACCACCCACCAATACCACTACCACCCATCACTACCACCCACCACTACCACCCACCACTACCACCCACCACTACCACTACCACCCACCGCTACCACCCACCACTACCACCCACCACTACCACCCACCACTAGCACCCACAACTACCACCCACACCACTACCACCCACCAATACCACTACCACCCACCACTACCACCCACCACTACCACCCACCACTACCACCCACCACTACCAATACCACCCACGACTACTACCCACCACTACCACCGACTACTACCACCCACCACTACCACCCACCACTACCACCCACCATTACCACCCACAACTACCACTACCACCCACCACTACCACCCACCACTACCACCCACCACTACCACCCACCACTACCACTACCACCCACCACTACCACTACCACCCACCACTACCACCCACCACTACCACTCACCAATACCACCCACAACTACCACTACCACCCACCACTACCACTACTACCCACCACTACCACCCACCACTACCACCCACCAATACCACCCACCACTACCACCCACCACTACCACCCACCACTACCACCCACCATATACCACCCACCACTACCACCCACCACTACCACCCACCACTACCACCCACCACTACCACCCAAAACTACCACTACCACCCTCCACTACCACCCACCACAACCACCCACCACTACCACCCACCACTACCACTACCACCCACCACTACCACCCACCAATACCACCCACCAATACCACCCACCACTACCACCCACAACTACCACTACCACCCACCACTACCACCCACCACTACCACTACTACCCATCACCCACCACTACCAACAACCACTACCACCCACCACTACCACCCACCACTACCACCCACAACTACCACCCACAACTACCATCCACCACTACCACCCACAACTACCACTACCACCTACCACTACCACCCACCACTACCACCCACCACTACCACTACCACCCACGACTACCACCCACCACTACCACCCACCACTACCACCCACCAATACCACTACCACCCACCACTACCACCCACCACTACCACCCACCAATACCACTACCACCCATCACTACCACCCACCACTACCACCCACCACTACCACCCACTACTACCACCCACCACTACCACTACCACCCACCACTACCACCCACCACTACCACCCACCACTACCACCCACCACTACCACTACCAGCCACGACTACCACCCACCACTACCACCCACCACTACCACCCACCACTACCACCCACCACTACCACCCACCACTAGCACCCACAACTACCACTACCACCCACCACTACCACCCACCACTACCGCCCACCACTACCACCCACCACTACCACCCACCACTACCACCCAGCACTACCACCCACCACTACCACTACCACCTACGACTACCACCCACCACTACCACCCACCACTACCACCCACCAATACCACTACCACCCACCACTACCACCCACCACCCACCACTGCCACTACCACCCACCACTACCACCCACCACTACCACTGCCACCCACGACTACCACCCACCACTACCACCCACCACTACCACCCACCACTACCACCCAGCACTACCACCCACCACTACCACCCACCACTACCACTACCACCTACGACTACCACCCACCACTACCACCCACCACTACCACCCACCAATACCACTACCACCCACCACTACCACTACCACCCACCACTACCACCCACCACTACCACTACCACCCACGACTACTACCCACCACTACCACCCACCAATACCACTACCACCCATCACTACCACCCACCACTACCACCCACCACTACCACCCACCACTACCACCCACCACTACCACCCACCACTACCACCCACTACTACCACTACCACCCACCACTACCACCCACCACTACCACCCACCACTACCACTACCAGCCACGACTACCACCCACCACTACCACCCACCACTACCACCCACCACTACCACCCACCACTAGCACTCACAACTACCACTACCACCCACCACTACCACCCACCACTACCACCCACCACTACCACCCAGCACTACCACCCACCACTACCACCCACCACTACCACTACCACCTACGACTACCACCCACCACTACCACCCACCACTACCACCCACCAATACCACTACCACCCACCACTACCATCCACCACTACCACCCACCACTACCACTACCACCCACCACTACCACCCACCACTACCACTACCACCCACCACTACCACGCACCACTACCACCAACCACTACCACCCACCACTACCACCCACCACTACCACCCACCAATGCCACTACTGTGTCTCTATGCATCTCTTTGAGTCTCTATGTGTCTCCATGTGTCTCTATGTATCTCTATGAGTCTCTATGTATCTCTATGAGTCTCTATGTATCTCTATGTATCTCTATCTGTCTCTATGTGTCTCTATGTATCTATATGAGTCTCTATGTGTCTCTATGTATCTCTATGTGTCTCTATGTATCTCTATGTATCTCTATGTGTCTCTATGTATCTCTATTTATCTCTATGAGTCTCTATGTGTCTCTATGTATCTCTATGAGTCTCTATGAGTCTCTATGTATCTCTATGTGTCTCTATGTGTCTCTATGTATCTCTATGTGTCTCTATGTGTCTCTATGAGTCTCTATGTGTCTCTATGTATCTCTATGTATCTCTATGTGTCTCTATGTATATCTGTGTATCTCTATGTGTCTCTGTGTGTCTCTATGTATCTCTATGTATATCTGTGTATCTCTATGTGTCTCTGTGTGTCTCTATGTATCTATATGATTCTCTATGTATCTCTATGTATCTCTATGTATCTCTATGTGTCTCTATGTGTCTATGTGTGTCAGAGTGTCCATCACTGGGTGTGGAATCCATGAGGGTGAGTGACCATCAGCTCCATGCCTCATCCAGCAGCAGATACGGACTGGGAGCACACAGAGGGAGACTCAACATACAGGTGGTGGTGGTGTGTGGTGTGTGTGTGTGGTGTGTGTGGTGTGTGTGGTGTGTGTGTGATGTGTGTGGTGTATGTGGTGTGTGGTGCATGTGGTGTGTGTAGTGTGTGTGTGGTGTGGTGTGGTGGTGTGTGTGGTGGTGGTGTGTGTGTGTGGTGTGTGTGGTGTGTGTGGTGTGTGTGTGTGGTGTGGTGCGTGTGGTGTATTTGGTGTGTGTGGTGTGTGTGGTGTGTGGTGTGGTGTTTGTGGTGTGTGTGGTGGTGGTGGTGTGTGTATGGTGTGTGTGTGGTGTGTGGTGTGTGTGTGGTGTGTGTGGTGGTGGTGGTGTGTGTGTGTGTGGTGTGTGTGTATGGTGTGTGGTGGTGTGTGTGGTGTGTGTGGTGTGTGTGTATGGTGTGTGTGGTGTGTGTGGTGTGTGTGGTGTGTGTGTGGTGTGTGTGGTGTATGTGGTGTGTGGTGTGTGGTGTGTGGTGTGTGTGGTGTGTGTGGTGTGTGTGTGGTGTGTGTGTGGTGTGTGTGGTGGTGTGTGTGGTGTGTGGTGTGTGTGGTGGTGGTGTGTGTGTGTGTGGTGTGTGTGTGGTGTGGTGTGTGTGTGGTGTGTGTGGTGTATGTGGTGTGTGTGGTGTGTGTGGTGTGTCTGGTGTGTGTGGTGTGTGTGGTGTGTGTGGTGGTGTGTGGTGTGTGTGGTGTGTGTGTGTGGTGTGTGTGGTGTGTGTGGTGTGTGTGTGTGGTGTGTGTGGTGTGTGTGGTGTGTGTGGTGTGTGTGTGTGGTATGTATGTGTGGTGTGTGGTGTGTGTGGTGTGTGTGGTGTGTGTGGTGTGTGTGGTGTGTGGTGTGTGTGGTATGTGGTGTGTGTGGTGTGTGTGTGTAGTGTGTGTGTGTGGTGTGTGTGGTGGTGGTGATGTGTGTGGTGTGTGTGGTGTGTGTGTGTGGTGTGGTGTGTGTTGTGTTTGTGTGTGGTGTGTGTGTGGTGTGTGTGTGGTGGTGGTGTTTGTGATGTGTGTGGTGTGTGTGTGGTGTGTGTGTGGTGTGTGTGTGTGGTGTGTGTGTGGTGGTGGTGTTTGTGATGTGTGTGGTGTGTGTGTGTGGTGTGTGTGGTGTGTGTGGTGTGTGGTGTGTGTGGTGTGTGTGTGGTGTGTGTGATGTGTGTGGTGTGTGTGTGTGGTGTGTGTGTGTGGTGTGTGTGTGGTGGTGGTGTGTGTGATGTGTGTGGTGTGTGTGGTGTGTGTGTGTGTGGTGTGTGTGTGGTGTGTGTGGTGTGTGTGTGATGTGTGTGGTGTGTGGTGTGTGTGGTGTGTGGTGTGTGTGGTGTGTGTGGTGTGTGGTGTGTGTGGTGTGTGTGTGGTGTGTGTGGTGTGTGTGTGGTGTGTGTGTGGTGTGTGGTGTGTGTGGTGTGTGTGGTGTGTGTGTGGTGTGTGTGGTGTGTGTGTGTGGTGTGTGTGTGTGGTGTGTGTGTGGTGTGTGTGGTGTGTGTGTGTGTGGTGTGGTGTGTGTGGTGTGTGTGTGGTGTGTGTGTGTGGTGTGTGTGGTGTGGTGTGTGTGGTGTGTGTGGTGTGTGGTGTGTGTGTGGTGTGTGTGGTGTGTGTGTGGTGTGTGTGTGGTGTGTGGTGTGTGTGGTGTGTGGTGTGTGTGGTGTGTGTGTGGTGTGTGTGGTGTGTGTGTGTGGTGTGTGTGGTGTGTGGTGTGTGTGTGTGGTGTGTGTGTGGTGTTTGTGGTGTGGTGTGTGTGGTGTGTGGTGTGTGTGTGGTGTGTGTGGTGTGTGTGTGTGTGTGGTGTGTGTGGTGTGTGTGTGGTGTGTGTGTGGTGTGTGTGTGGTGTGTGTGTGGTGTGTGTGGTGTGTGTGGTGTGTGTGTGGTGTGGTGTGTGTGGTGTGTGTGGTGTGTGGTGTGTGTGGTGTGTGGTAATGTTGATGTTGGTGATGATGATGGTGATGATGATGTTGATGATGTTGATGATGGTGATGATGTTGGTGATGATGATGATGTTGGTGATGTTGATGATGTTGATGATGATGATGTTGGTGATGATGATGATGATGTTGGTGATGGTGATGTTGATGATGATGTTGGTGATAGTGATGTTGATGATGGTGTTGGTGATGGTGTTGATGGTGATGATGGTGATGGTGTTGATGTTGGTGATGATGATGGTGATGGTGTTGATGTTGATGATGGTGTTGATGTTGGTGATGATGTTGATGTTGATGATGGTGATGATGATGATGTTGATGTTGGTGATGGTGTTGATGGTGATGATGGTGATGATGTTCGTGATGGTGATGATGGTGATGTTGTTGTAGTCAGGGATGACTGATGATGATCAGTATGATGGTGATGTTGATGGTGATGGTGGTGATGGTGATGATGATGGTGATGTTGATGGTGATGGTGTTGGTGATGGTGTTGATGATGTTGATGTTGGTGATGGTGATGATGTTTCTGATGGTGATGGTGTTGATCTTGGTGTTGGTGATGATGGTGTTGATGGTGATGATGATGATGGTGATGATGGTGATGTTGTTGTTGTAGTCAGGCATGACTGATGATGATCAGTATGATGGAGCTTGGTCATGATGATTTTTTGGTGATGAAGGTGATGGTGATGGTGATGATGATGATGATAGTGGTGATGGTGTAATGATGGTGATGATGGTGATGATGTTGTAGTCAGGGATGACTGATGATGATCAGTATGATGGAGCTTGGTGATGATGGAGCTTGGTGATGAAGGTGATGGTGATGATGGTGTTGATGTTGATGTTGTTAGTCAGGTATTACTGATGATGATCAGTGTGATGGTGATGATGGTGATGGTGATAGTGGTGATGTTGATGAAGGTGATGGTGATGATGATGATGTTGGTGATGGTGTTGTTAGTCAGGGATGACCGATGATGATCAGTGTGATGGTGATGATGGTGTTGATGTTGATGTTGTTAGTCAGGTATTACTGATGATGATCAGTATGATGGTGATGGTGATGATGGTGATGATGGTGTTGATGTTGTTAGTCAGGTATTACTGATGATGATCAGTGTGATGGTGATGATGGTGATGGTGGTGATGTTGATGAAGGTGATGGTGATGATGATGGTGATGTTGGTGATGGTGTTGTTAGTCAGGGATGACCGATGATGATCAGTATGATGGTGATGATGGTGATGATGGTGTTGATGTTGATGTTGTTAGTCAGGGATTACTGATGATGATCAGTGTGATGGTGATGATGGTGATGGTGATGTTGGTGATGGTGATGATGGTGTTGTTAGTCAGGGATGACTGATGATGATCAGTATGATGGTGATGATGGTGATGGTGATGATGGTGTTGATGTTGATGTTGTTAGTCAGGTATTACTGATGATGATCAGTGTGATGGTGATGATGGTGATGGTGATGATGATGTTGATGTTGTTAGTCAGGGATGACCGATGATGATCAGTATGATGGAGCTTGGTGATGGTGATGGTGGTGTTGATGTTGATGTTGTTAGTCAGGTATTACTGATGATGATCAGTGTGATGGTGATGTTGATGATGATGGTGATGTTGATGTTGTTAGTCAGGTATTACTGATGATGATCAGTATGATGGTGATGATGGTGATGGTGATGATGGTGATGTTGGTGATGGTGTTGTTAGTCAGGGATGACTGATGATGATCAGTATGATGGAGCTTGGTGATGGTGATGTTGTAGTCAGGGATGACTGATGATGATCAGTATGATGGTGATGATGGTGATGATGATGATGGTGATGTTGGTGATGGTGTTGTTAGTCAGGGATGACTGATGATGATCAGTATGATGGAGCTTGGTGATGGTGATGATGGTGATGGTGGTGATCTTGATGAAGGTGATGGTGGTGATGATGATGATGGTGTTGTTAGTCAGGGATGACTGATGATGATCAATATGATGGAGCTTGGTGATGGTGATGATGATGGTGATGTTGGTGATGGTGTTGTTAGTCAGGGATGACTGATGATGATCAGTATGATGGTGATGATGGTGATGATGATGGTGATGATGGTGATGTTGGTGATGGTGTTGTTAGTCAGGGATGACTGATGATGATCAGTGTGATGGTGATGTTGATGATGATGGTGTTGATGTTGATGTTGTAGTCAGGGATGACTGATGATGATCAGTGTGATGGTGATGATGGTGATGATGATGATGGTGATGTTGGTGATGGTGTTGTTAGTCAGGGATGACTGATGATGATCAGTATGATGTTGATGATGGTGATGGTGTTGTTAGTCAGGGATGACTGATGATGATCAGTATGATGGAGCTTGGTGATGGTGATGATGGTGATGTTGGTGATGGTGTTGTTAGTCAGGGATGACTGATGATGATCAGTATGATGGAGCTTGGTGATGGTGATGTTGTAGTCAGGTATTACTGATGATGATCAGTATGATGGTGGTGATGGTGATGTTGATGTTGTTAGTCAGGGATGATTGATGATGATCAGTATGATGGAGCTTGGTGATGGTGATGTTGTAGTCAGGGATGACTGATGATGATCAGTATGATGGAGCTTGGTGATGGTGATGTTGTAGTCAGGGATGACTGATGATGATCAGTATGATGGAGCTTGGTGATGGTGATGTTGTAGTCAGGGATGACTGATGATGATGATGATGATGGTGATGTTGGTGATGGTGTTGTTAGTCAGGGATGACTGATGATGATCAGTGTGATGGTGATGTTGATGATGATGGTGTTGATGTTGATGTTGTAGTCAGGGATGACTGATGATGATCAGTATGATGGTGATGATGGTGATGATGATGGTGATGGTGTTGTTAGTCAGGGATGACTGATGATGATCAGTATGATGGTGATGAAGGTGATGATGGTGATGATGGTGATGGTGTTGTTAGTCAGGGATGACCGATGATGATCAGTATGATGGAGCTTGGTGATGGTGATGTTGTAGTCAGGGATGACTGATGATGATCAGTATGATGGTGATGATGGTGATGATGATGATGATGGTGATGTTGATGTTGTTAGTCAGGGATGACTGATGATGATCAGTGTGATGGTGATGATGATGATGGTGATGTTGGTGATGGTGTTGTTAGTCAGGGATGACCGATGATGATCAGTATGATGGTGATGATGGTGATGATGATGATGGTGTTGTTAGTCAGGGATGACTGATGATGATCAGTATGATGGTGATGAAGGTGATGATGGTGATGATGGTGATGGTGTTGTTAGTCAGGGATGACCGATGATGATCAGTATGATGGAGCTTGGTGATGGTGATGATGGTGATGGTGGTGATCTTGATGAAGGTGATGGTGATGATGATGATGGTGATGATGTTGATGTTGTAGTCAGGGATGACTGATGATGATCAGTATGATGGAGCTTGGTGATGGTGATGTTGTAGTCAGGGATGACTGATGATGATCAGTATGATGGTGATGATGGTGATGTTGATGTTGTTAGTCAGGGATGACTGATGATGATCAGTATGATGGAGCTTGGTGATGGTGATGGTGATGTTGGTGATGGTGTTGTTAGTCAGGGATGACTGATGATGATCAGTATGATGGTGATGATGATGTTGATGTTGATGTTGTTAGTCAGGGATGACCGATGATGATCAGTATGATGATGATGGTGATGTTGATGATGGTGATGGTGGTGATGATGATGATGATGGTGATGATGTTGATGGTGATGTTGTAGTCAGGGATGACTGATGATGATCAGTATGATGGTGGTGATGTTGATGAAGGTGATGGTGGTGATGATGATGGTGATGATGTTGATGTTGATGTTGTTAGTCAGGGATGACTGATGATGATCAGTGTGATGGTGATGATGATGATGGTGATGTTGGTGATGGTGTTGTTAGTCAGGGATGACTGATGATGATCAGTATGATGGAGCTTGGTGATGGTGATGGTGTTGTTAGGGATGACTGATGATGATCAGTATGATGGAGCTTGGTGATGGTGATGTTGGTGTTGATGTTGTTAGTCAGGTATTACTGATGATGATCAGTGTGATGGTGATGTTGTTAGTCAGGGATGACTGATGATGATCAGTATGATGGTGGTGATGGTGATGGTGATGTTGTAGTCAGGCATGACTGATGATGATCAGTATGATGGAGCTTGGTGATGGTGATGATGGTGATGATGTTGGTGATGATGATGATGGTGATGGTGTTGTTAGTCAGGGATGACTGATGATGATCAGTATGATGGTGATGATGGTGTTGGTGATGTTGTAGTCAGGGATGACTGATGATGATCAGTATGATGGAGCTTGGTGATGGTGATGTTGTAGTCAGGGATGACTGATGATGATCAGTATGATGGTGATGATGGTGATGGTGGTGATGATGATGATGGTGATGCTGGTGATGGTGTTGTTAGTCAGGGATGACTGATGATGATCAGTATGATGGTGATGATGGTGATGATGATGATGGTGATGATGGTGATGGTGTTGTTAGTCAGGGATAACTGATGATGATCAGTATGATGATGATGATGGTGATGATGATGTTGATGTTGTAGTCAGGGATGACTGATGATGATCAGTATGATGGTGATGATGGTGATGATGGTGTTGATGTTGATGTTGTTAGTCAGGGATGACTGATGATGATCAGTATGATGTTGATGATGGTGATGATGGTGTTGATGTTGATGTTGTTAGTCAGGGATGACTGATGATGATCAGTATTATGTTGGTGATGGTGATGTTGATGTTGTAGTCAGGGATGACTGATGATGATCAGTGTGATGGAGCTTGGTGATGGTGATGTTGTAGTCAGGGATGACTGATGATGATCAGTGTGATGGAGCTTGGTGATGGTGATGTTGTAGTCAGGGATGACTGATGATGATCAGTATGATGGAGCTTGGTGATGGTGATGATGGTGATGGTGATGATGATGGTGATGCTGGTGATGGTGTTGTTAGTCAGGGATGACTGATGATGATCAGTATGATGGAGCTTGGTGATGGTGATGATGGTGTTGATGTTGATGGTGATGACGATCAGTATGATGATGATGATGGTGATGATGATGTTGATGTTGTAGTCAGGGATGACTGATGATGATCAGTATGATGGTGATGTTGTAGTCAGGGATGACTGATGATGATCAGTATGATGGTGATGATGGTGTTGGTGATGTTGTAGTCAGGGATGACTGATGATGATCAGTATGATGGAGCTTGGTGATGGTGATGTTGTAGTCAGGGATGACTGATGATGATCAGTATGATGGTGATGATGGTGATGGTGGTGATGATGATGATGGTGATGCTGGTGATGGTGTTGTTAGTCAGGGATGACTGATGATGATCAGTATGATGGTGATGATGGTGATGATGATGATGGTGATGATGGTGATGGTGTTGTTAGTCAGGGATAACTGATGATGATCAGTATGATGATGATGATGGTGATGATGATGTTGATGTTGTAGTCAGGGATGACTGATGATGATCAGTATGATGGTGATGATGGTGATGATGGTGTTGATGTTGATGTTGTTAGTCAGGGATGACTGATGATGATCAGTATGATGTTGATGATGGTGATGATGGTGTTGATGTTGATGTTGTTAGTCAGGGATGACTGATGATGATCAGTATTATGTTGGTGATGGTGATGTTGATGTTGTAGTCAGGGATGACTGATGATGATCAGTGTGATGGAGCTTGGTGATGGTGATGTTGTAGTCAGGGATGACTGATGATGATCAGTGTGATGGAGCTTGGTGATGGTGATGTTGTAGTCAGGGATGACTGATGATGATCAGTATGATGGAGCTTGGTGATGGTGATGATGGTGATGGTGATGATGATGGTGATGCTGGTGATGGTGTTGTTAGTCAGGGATGACTGATGATGATCAGTATGATGGAGCTTGGTGATGGTGATGATGGTGTTGATGTTGATGGTGATGACGATCAGTATGATGATGATGATGGTGATGATGATGTTGATGTTGTAGTCAGGGATGACTGATGATGATCAGTATGATGGTGATGTTGTATTCAGGGATGACTGATGATGATCAGTATGATGGTGATGATGGTGATGTTGTAGTCAGGGATGACTGATGATGATCAGTATGATGGTGATGGTGATGATGGTGATGTTGTAGTCAGGGATGACTGATGATGATCAGTATGATGGAGCTTGGTGTGCCGGAGTGATGGACGAGGCTCAGTGGCTCGAGGTGGACGCCAGGAGACTCACCCAGTTCACAGGAGTCATCACCCAAGGACGACAATCACTCACAGCGTGAGTCCACCACCATCATCACCGTCACCACTATCATCATCATCACCACCACCATCACTCACAGCGTGAGTTTACCACCATTACCACCACCATCACCACCATCACTACCATCACTACCATCACCACCATCACCAGCACCATCACCACCATCACCACCACCATCACCACCACCATCACCACCATCACTACCATCACTACCATCACCACCATCACCAGCACCATCACCACCATCACCACCACCATCACCACCACCATCACCACCATCACTACCATCACCACCATCACCACCATCACCAGCACCATCACCACCATCACCACCACCATCACCACCATCATCATCATCATCATCACCACCACCATCACTCACAGCGTGAGTCTACCACCATCACCATCATCACCATCACCACTACCATCACTACCATCACTACCATCACCACCATCACGAGCACCATCACTACCATCATCACCACCATCACCACCATCATCACCACCACTACCATCACTACCATCACCACCATCACTACCACCATCACCAGCACCATCACTACCATCATCACCACCATCACCACCATCACCATCATCACCATCATCACCACCATCACCACCACCATCACTACCACCATCACCACCATCACCACCATCACCACCATCATCACTATCACCACCATCACCACCACCATCACCACAGTCATCACTACCATCATCACCACCACCATCACCACCATCACCATCATCACCACCATCACCACCACCATCACCACCACTATCACCACCACCATCACCACCATCATCACCACCACCATCACCACCATCACCATCACCACCACCATCACCACCACCATCACTACCTGGCTACCTGTCTGTGTGTGTGTGCTACCTGTGTGTGTGTGTGTGTACTACCTGTGTGTGTGTGTACTACCTGTTTGTGTGTGTGTACTACCTGTGTGTGTGTGTGTGTACTACCTGTGTGTGTGTGTGTGTACTACCTGTGTGTGTGTACTACCTGTGTGTGTGTACTACCTGTGTGTGTGTGTGTGTACTACCTGTGTGTGTGTGTGTGTACTACCTGTGTGTGTGTACTACCTGTGTGTGTGTACTACCTGTGTGTGTGTGTGTGCTACCTGTGTGTGTGTGTACTACCTGTGTGTGTGTGTACTACCTGTGTGTGTGTGTGTACTACCTGTGTGTGTGTGTGTACTACCTGTGTGTGTGTGTGTACTACCTGTGTGTGTGTCTGTGTGTGTGTGTACTACCTGTGTGTGTGTGTACTACCTGTGTGTGTGTGTGTACTACCTGTGTGTGTGTGTGTGTACTACCTGTGTGTGTGTGTACTACCTGTGTGTGTGTGTGTGCTACCTGTGTGTGTGTGTGTACTACCTGTGTGTGTGTGTGTGTACTACCTGTGTGTGTGTGTACTACCTGTGTGTGTGTGTGTGCTACCTGTGTGTGTGTGTGTACTACCTGTGTGTGTGTGTACTACCTGTGTGTGTGTGTGTACTACCTGTGTGTGTGTGTACTACCTGTGTGTGTGTGTGTACTACCTGTGTGTGTGTGTGTGCTACCTGTGTGTGTGTGTGTGTACTACCTGTGTGTGTGTGTGTACTACCTGTGTGTGTGTGTGTACTACCTGTGTGTGTGTGTACTACCTGTGTGTGTGTGTACTACCTGTGTGTGTGTGTGTGCTACCTGTGTGTGTGTGTGTGTACTACCTGTGTGTGTGTGTGTACTACCTGTGTGTGTGTGTGTGTACTACCTGTGTGTGTGTGTACTACCTGTGTGTGTGTGTGTACTACCTGTGTGTGTGTGTGTGTGTACTACCTGTGTGTGTGTGTACTACCTGTGTGTGTGTGTGTGTGTTACCTGTGTGTGTGTGTGTACTACCTGTGTGTGTGTGTACTACCTGTGTGTGTGTGTGTACTACCTGTGTGTGTGTGTGTACTACCTGTGTGTGTGTGCTACCTGTGTGTGTGTGTACTACCTGTGTGTGTGTGTGTACTACCTGTGTGTGTGTGTGTGCTACATGTGTGTGTGTGTGTACTACCTGTGTGTGTGTGTGTGTACTACCTGTGTGTGTGTGTGTACTACCTGTGTGTGTGTGTGTGTACTACCTGTGTGTGTGTGTGTGTGCTACATGTGTGTGTGTGTGTGTACTACCTGTGTGTGTGTGTGTGTACTACCTGTGTGTGTGTGTGTACTACCTGTGTGTGTGTGTGTGTACTACCTGTGTGTGTGTGTGTACTACCTGTGTGTGTGTGTACTACCTGTGTGTGTGTGTGTACTACCTGTGTGTGTGTGTGTGCTACCTGTGTGTGTGTGTGCTACCTGTGTGTGTGTACTACCTGTGTGTGTGTACTACCTGTGTGTGTGTGTGCTACCTGTGTGTGTGTGTGTACTACCTGTGTGTGTGTGTGTGTACTACCTGTGTGTGTGTGTGCTACCTGTGTGTGTGTGTGTGTACTACCTGTGTGTGTGTGTGTACTACCTGTGTGTGTGTGTGTACTACCTGTGTGTGTGTGTACTACCTGTGTGTGTGTGTGTGCTACCTGTGTGTGTGTGTGTACTACCTGTGTGTGTGTGTGTGCTACATGTGTGTGTGTGTGTGTACTACCTGTGTGTGTGTGTGCTACCTGTGTGTGTGTGTACTACCTGTGTGTGTGTGTACTACCTGTGTGTGTGTGTACTACCTGTGTGTGTGTACTACCTGTGTGTGTGTGTGCTACCTGTGTGTGTGTGTGTACTACCTGTGTGTGTGTGTACTACCTGTGTGTGTGTGTACTACCTGTGTGTGTGTGTGTACTACCTGTGTGTGTGTGTGTGTACTACCTGTGTGTGTGTGTGTGTACTACCTGTGTGTGTGTACTACCTGTGTGTGTGTGTGTACTACATGTGTGTGTGTGTGTACTACCTGTGTGTGTGTGTGTACTACCTGTGTGTGTGTGTACTACCTGTGTGTGTGTGTGTGTGTACTACCTGTGTGTGTGTGTGTGTACTACCTGTGTGTGTGTGTACTACCTGTGTGTGTGTGTGTGTACTACCTGTGTGTGTGTGTACTACCTGTGTGTGTGTGTGTACTACCTGTGTGTGTGTGTGTGTACTACCTGTGTGTGTGTGTGTGTACTACCTGTGTGTGTGTACTACCTGTGTGTGTGTGTACTACCTGTGTGTGTGTGTGTACTACCTGTGTGTGTGTGTGTACTACCTGTGTGTGTGTGTGTGTACTACCTGTGTGTGTGTGTACTACCTGTGTGTGTATGTGTACTACCTGTGTGTGTGTGTGTACTACCTGTGTGTGTGTGTACTACCTGTGTGTGTGTGTGTACTACCTGTGTGTGTGTGTACTACCTGTGTGTGTGTGTGTGTACTACCTGTGTGTGTGTGTACTACCTGTGTGTGTGTGTGTACTACCTGTGTGTGTGTGTGTACTACCTGTGTGTGTGTGTGTGTGCTACCTGTGTGTGTGTGTGTGCTACCTGTGTGTGTGTGTGTACTACCTGTGTGTGTGTGTGTACTACCTGTGTGTGTGTGTGTGTACTACCTGTGTGTGTGTGTGTACTACCTGTGTGTGTGTGTGCTACATGTGTGTGTGTGTGTGTACTACCTGTGTGTGTGTGTGTACTACCTGTGTGTGTGTGTACTACCTGTGTGTGTGTGTGTACTACCTGTGTGTGTGTGTACTACCTGTGTGTGTGTGTGTACTACCTGTGTGTGTGTGTGTGCTACCTGTGTGTGTGTGTGTGCTACCTGTGTGTGTGTGTGTGTGTACTACCTGTGTGTGTGTGTACTACCTGTGTGTGTGTGTGTGTACTACCTGTGTGTGTGTGTGTGTGTACTACCTGTGTGTGTGTGTGTACTACCTGTGTGTGTGTACTACCTGTGTGTGTGTGTGCTACCTGTGTGTGTGTGTCCTGTGTGTGTGTGTGTACTACCTGTGTGTGTGTGTGTGTACTACCTGTGTGTGTGTACTACCTGTGTGTGTGTGTACTACCTGTGTGTGTGTGTGTGTACTACCTGTGTGTGTGTGTGTACTACCTGTGTGTGTGTGTGCTACCTGTGTGTGTGTGCTACCTGTGTGTGTGTGTGTACTACCTGTGTGTGTGTGTACTACCTGTGTGTGTGTGTGTACTACCTGTGTGTGTGTGTGTGCTACCTGTGTGTGTGTGTGTACTACCTGTGTGTGTGTGTACTACCTGTGTGTGTGTGTGTACTACCTGTGTGTGTGTACTACCTGTGTGTGTGTGTGTGTGCTACCTGTGTGTGTGTGTGCTACCTGTGTGTGTGTGCTACCTGTGTGTGTGTGTGTGTGTACTACCTGTGTGTGTGTACTACCTGTGTGTGTGTGTGTACTACCTGTGTGTGTGTGTGTGTGCTACCTGTGTGTGTGTGTACTACCTGTGTGTGTGTGTGTGTGTGCTACCTGTGTGTGTACTACCTGTGTGTGTGTGTGTGCTACATGTGTGTGTGTGTGTGCTACCTGTGTGTGTGTGTACTACCTGTGTGTGTGTGTACTACCTGTGTGTGTGTGTACTACCTGTGTGTGTGTGTACTACCTGTGTGTGTGTGTGTGCTACATGTGTGTGTGTGTGTGCTACCTGTGTGTGTGTGTACTACCTGTGTGTGTGTGTGTACTACCTGTGTGTGTGTGTGTGTGCTACATGTGTGTGTGTGTGTACTACCTGTGTGTGTGTGTGTGTACTACCTGTGTGTGTGTGTGTGCTACATGTGTGTGTGTGTGTACTACCTGTGTGTGTGTGTGTGTGTACTACCTGTGTGTGTGTGTGTGCTACCTGTGTGTGTGTGTGTGTACTACCTGTGTGTGTGTGTGTGTGTACTACCTGTGTGTGTGTGTGCTACCTGTGTGTGTGTGTACTACCTGTGTGTGTGTGTACTACCTGTGTGTGTGTGTACTACCTGTGTGTGTGTGTACTACCTGTGTGTGTGTGTGTACTACCTGTGTGTGTGTGTGTGTGTACTACCTGTGTGTGTGTGTGTGATACCTGTGTGTGTGTGTGTACTACCTGTGTGTGTGTGTACTACCTGTGTGTGTGTGTACTACCTGTGTGTGTGTGTGTACTACCTGTGTGTGTGTGTGTGTACTACCTGTGTGTGTGTGTGCTACCTGTGTGTGTGTGTACTACCTGTGTGTGTGTGTACTACCTGTGTGTGTGTGTGTGTTACCTGTGTGTGTGTGTGCTACCTGTGTGTGTGTGTGTGCTACCTGTGTGTGTGTACTACCTGTGTGTGTGTGTGTGTTACCTGTGTGTGTGTGTGCTACCTGTGTGTGTGTGTGTACTACCTGTGTGTGTGTGTGTACTACCTGTGTGTGTGTGTACTACCTGTGTGTGTGTGTGTACTGTGTGTGTGTACTACCTGTGTGTGTGTACTACCTGTGTGTGTGTACTACCTGTGTGTGTGTGTGTGTACTACCTGTGTGTGTGTGTGTGCTACCTGTGTGTGTGTGTGTACTACCTGTGTGTGTGTGTGTGTGTGCTACCTGTGTGTGTGTGTGTACTACCTGTGTGTGTGTGTGTACTACCTGTGTGTGTGTGTACTACCTGTGTGTGTGTGTGTGTACTACCTGTGTGTGTGTGTGTACTACCTGTGTGTGTGTGTGTGTACTACCTGTGTGTGTGTGTGTGCTACCTGTGTGTGTGTGTGTACTACCTGTGTGTGTGTGTGCTACCTGTGTGTGTGTGTGTGTGCTACCTGTGTGTGTGTGTACTACCTGTGTGTGTGTGTGTACTACCTGTGTGTGTGTGTGTACTACCTGTGTGTGTGTGTACTACCTGTGTGTGTGTGTGTACTACCTGTGTGTGTGTGTGTACTACCTGTGTGTGTGTGTACTACCTGTGTGTGTGTGTGTACTACCTGTGTGTGTGTGTGTGCTACCTGTGTGTGTGTGTACTACCTGTGTGTGTGTGTGTACTACCTGTGTGTGTGTGAACTACCTGTGTGTGTGTTACCTGTGTGTGTGTGTGTACTACCTGTGTGTGTGTGTACTACCTGTGTGTGTGTGTGTGTACTACCTGTGTGTGTGTGTGTGTGTGTGCTACCTGTGTGTGTGTGTGTGTACTACCTGTGTGTGTGTGTACTACCTGTGTGTGTGTGTGTACTACCTGTGTGTGTGTGTGTACTACCTGTGTGTGTGTGTGTGTACTACCTGTGTGTGTGTGTGTGTACTACCTGTGTGTGTGTGTGCTACCTGTGTGTGTGTGTACTACCTGTGTGTGTGTGTACTACCTGTGTGTGTGTGTGTGCTACCTGTGTGTGTGTCTGTGTGTGTGTGTACTACCTGTGTGTGTGTGTACTACCTGTGTGTGTGTGTACTACCTGTGTGTGTGTGTACTACCTGTGTGTGTGTGTGTGCTACCTGTGTGTGTGTGTGTACTACCTGTGTGTGTGTGTGTACTACCTGTGTGTGTGTGTACTACCTGTGTGTGTACTACCTGTGTGTGTGTGTACTACCTGTGTGTGTGTACTACCTGTGTGTGTGTGTGCTACCTGTGTGTGTGTGTACTACCTGTGTGTGTGTGTACTACCTGTGTGTGTGTGTACTACCTGACTGTACAGGCAGGACTGGGTGACGTCATTCGTGGTGCTCTACA